AGGTTAGCTGTCGACCTCTGGTCTGCTGTGTACTTCTTTGGAACTTTAAGATATCTTTGGGATGTTTTCATTTTCCTTGAGTTTTGGCTTTATAAACCTGTTTTGACAATTCTGACTAATAATTTTATGAATAAAAATTGGAAATGTTTCCTAATTCCAAATGGTATTTGCATTGCTTTAATAAATAAAATACACTCATTATAAAAATTCAGAGTTTATATTTTTGTTGTATAAATATTGTTCTCTATACCATAAGGAGCCTAGTGATTACATTTCCTTTCTTATACATTTTTAATTTTTCCACTGTAGCTAATAATTCCTTCATTTTACTCTGTAAGTTCAGTGTGGCTGTTGTAAATGCGGCCCCCAGACCTTGACCTGCTGTGGAGGTGAGGTCTGTAATTCCTTGCCTTAGTGCTGCGCAGGCCCCTGGGTGTTTTGGTAGAGCAGGAAAATGACTCAGGTTTCTGTGGCTGGGCACAAGGAGCACACGAGCCACTGCCCTGCCTGGTGGAATGTTCTAGGTGGCGTTCGCAGCAGTCTCCATGTTCTGAAGCTGCTTTGCTGTGATGAGAGGCCAAGCGAAGCAGCAGGGTCATGTGTGGGCCTCTAGAGGTCAGTTGCCTGGTCTTCCACACAGCTTGGGCTGGCTGGAAGGCGTGGATGAAAGCCCCTGGGTGGCCATGCTATGACATGTGCTGCAGAACTGCTGTCACGTCTATCAGCTGGGTTGTCTAGGTAAGGTCCCAGACGTCACAGAGCAGTCATATCATGTCATGGTGCCCTGTCCAGATTTACAACCCCCAGTGCTATACATCTAATAAAATGGTAATTGTTAGCAGCTGTTTTGTTCTAATAATAGTTAATGAACGTTGTTTTCTATGTACCTATAATTAATTCATCTCTTAATTCTCAAGCAAGCATATTAGGTGATTTATCTACTTCCCAGCAAGATGTTTTTTACAGAGATCTCTGTCCTGTTTCAGTGTAGCACAAATATACAGCAATCAGTCTAGGACTTGCTAGTGAGACAAGAGGGACAGTGTGCTATTTATTTATTTAAATTTTATTTATTGATGTGGGGGGGGCAGCTCAGCACACCAGGGGGCGGGGCTGGCTGGTATGTGGTGCTGGGGGATTGAACTGCGGTCCCTGTGCTTTGCTAAGCTTGTTCTAAGTAGGTGCCTTAGAACACTGAGCCATCTCACCAGCCCCCAGTGTGCTATTTAAGGACACAGGCCCTGTTGGGGCTGTTGGGATGCGAATGCTGGATTCTCCTCTTGTTCATCATGGACTATGCACCAGCTCCTCCATCTTTGTGCCCCAGGCTCCTCACCAGAACATTATCTGATACACAGATCATGGGTGCTATTCCTGTGACCTTCACGCTGTCCCAGCATTGCCCGCTGCCTCCTGCCCTGTCCAGCACCCGCCCCATTCCTAGAGTGCAAAGTCATTTTCTTATCAGGATGGAATATATTACTGCTCTCTGAAACAAAGATGCATGCAAAGGAAGTTTTGTGAAGCCTTGTAGATCTGTTTGTTTATTTATTTATTTATTTATTTGTTATTTTTTTTTTGTTTATTTATTTTTTGAGACAGGTTTCACTATGCAGTCCAGACTGGTCTCAAACTCAGTGATCCTCCTGCCTCAGACTCCTGAGGGCTGGGGTTATAGGCATGCACCACTGTTCCTGGCTTAAATCTGTTTTTGTTGGAACCTGGGATTGAACTCAGGCCCTTGCACTTGCCAGGCAAATGCTTATTCTACTGAGCTATTTCCCGGCCCCTTAAATCTGCTTTAAATGGTCAGTATCACACTTCATGATATGGTTAACATCAAATTATAAACTGAAAACCATTTTCTCTTTGAAATTTGAAGGTACTATCTCACTGTCTTGGATCTTTCTCTGTCACTACCATCTCATTCTGCTTCTTTTTTTAAAAATTTTATTTATTTATTCATATGTGTGTGTGTGTGTGGCTAGCTCAGCCCACCAGGGGGCGGGGCTGGCTGGCATGTGGTGCTGGGAGATTGAACCGCGGTCCCTGTGCTTTGCTAAGCTTGTTCTGAGTAGGTGCTTTAGACCACTGAGCCATCTCACCAGCCCTCATTCTGCTTCTTGATTCTTTGTATGCAGGTCTTCTTTTTCTCCATAGAGAAGACTGCTTCAGACTTGATAATGATGTGACCTGGGGCGGGTCTTTCTTCTGTTTTCCTTTTTCTGTGATGGCAATGAACCCAGAGCTTCTTGCATGCCAAGCACATGCTCTACTACCATTGAACTGCACTGCAGAATGAGGTGAGCATTTTCAAATTGATTCCTGAGGTCACCATTACAATTTGGAGACTCAAATCTTTCAGATCTCAGAACTTTTAAAAAATTTCATTAATTTTTTTCACCTCCATTTTTAATTTTCCCTGAGAATTTTAATGTATCTGACATTTTCCAAGGTGTGGTCTATCTTTTCTATTTTCAGTTGTCTTGTTTAATTTTCTCATTTGTATCTTATATGCTTTGGGTTTGTGATATTTTCATAATTCTGATTACACACACACATACACACACACACACATTACTGTTGTTGGAGACAGAGTCGTACTACGTAGTCCAGGCTGGCCTCAAATCCATGGTGATTCTCCTGCTTTGGCCTCCTGAGCACTGGAATTAGAGGCACGGCCATCATGCCCAGCAATTCTTTTTTTTTTTTTTTTTCCCCAGCAATTCTTATATATTTGATAATCACTTTTT